CCTTGTGAGAGCTAAAAATAATAAATCTATAACCAAGTCTCTGGCAGTGTATACGTGAAAAAGAAACGGTGGAAAATTCTCACCCTTCCTTACCTTTAATTTTTCTATAGATATATATAAAGACGTACAACCGCATATCTATCTATCTCTCTCTAGATATATAAACCTGAACACAATAATGAGAATTTTTTTCCTTCCCCCTCCTAAAAAAAAAGAAATGAAAGAAAGAAAGAAAGAAAAAACCCTTAAATCCCCTACTTTTCTCTTTTTTTTTTATTTTTCTACGATACACAATGATTAAGTGCTAACTCAAGCATCAGTAGCAATCAATTTCTCATTTCTGGACCCACATTAACCCACGAAATTGGCTTAATCTTGGCCCAGATCTTCTATATAGTGTGCTATTACAGGAACTATAATCAAGTCGAGGGAAATCTGAATTTTCTTCATTCTCGATAATAAGAATAATGAAAAAAAAAATTCTAAAGTGAAAAAAAAACAAAGAAAGCTAGAGAAAGAGAAGAGAAGATGAGATTTAATTAAAAATTTTTGAAAGACTTTTTGAATATCAACGAAAACATTTCAATTTGAATTATTCAAATTTTCATTAAAACAAATATGCAAAATTAATAATTTTTAGTCGAAAAAATCATATATTTGTCTGACAAATAAAGAATTTTCCACTCAAATTAACGAGATTTCAAGTAGAATGTGTCAATTTTAGGTCAGACAAAAATCAAGTTATTTAATAATAGAAAAATATTTGAAGAAAGTTAATACAAAATTTATAAACGTCTATAGTGGTACAAGTCAATAACTTGTCTGAGAATTAAAGACGTTTTCAATTTTCATAACATAAATTTTAAGTGGAATCAGTAAATTTTAAGTCAGACACGAATGCATTTTTTAGTTGGAGAAAAAAAAAACGGTAAAAACAAAAAATAGGAAATTTTAGTGATACAAATCAACGAATTGTCTGACAATTAAAGAAATTTTCAAGTTTTTAATTTAAAAACATAAATTTTAAGTAGAATGAATAAATTTTAAGTCAGACATGACTAAAATTTTATTCCGTTTAATTAACATTTTCGAAAGATTTTTTGAATTAGTAAAAATGTTTATTACATAATTTAAATTAGTGATTGTTTATTATTTATTATTATTACTTTTTTGTAAAAATGGCAAATTTTCGTAAAAGAAAATATGAAATTAAAATTTTTTAAATTTCGAATTTAAGTGAGTTTAAACTTTAAATTTTTTACTTTTCAATCTCATGGAATATTTTATGCTCCATTATTTATTTTAATCGATAACTCAACAGCGTAAAAGAATCTAAAATTAAATTAAAAAATTATTTATTATTTTATTAACAGTGCTCTACAACAATAATAAAATAATTTTACCACTCTTAATTTCTTTTTCTCCAAATATTGAAGAGAACAAATTTTTCATAAATAAATATTAAATTTGCATTTTAATATACAGTATTCAATTGAATTAAAATCTATAATTTGAAATATGATAAAATTTTCAATATTTCGAACTAAACGTTTATTTCAGTGACAGGTTTAATTTCTGAGATTATGTCACGAATACGTTTTGTAGAATTTATCATTTATTTATTTCATTTTAAAAATCGATGGGATAAATTTTGCTTTTCTATTTATGTTACTTAAGAGAATAATGCAAAATTATGTGAATAAATTAAAATATGGATGATAAATAAATAATTAAATAGGTAAATATAAAAATTTTCCTTGTGGAAATAATGGAAATAATTTTAGTTTAGAAAATAGTGAAAATAATTTTACTTTAGAAAATAATGAAAAAAAATGTTTCCTTTCGAAAATAGTGAAAATAATTTTACTTCAGAAAATAATAAAAATAACTTTTCCTTTCGAAAATAGTGGTAATAATTTTACTTTAGAAAAAAAAAAAATTATTTTACTTCGGAAAATAATTTCACTTTGGTGAAAGTAATGAAAATAATTTCTGCTTTTGAAAATAATGGAAAACAATTTACCTTTAGAAAATAATTAAAATAATGTTTGCTTTAGAAAATAGTGGAAAAAATTTTACGTCGGAAAATAATCATGTAAAAAAACAAAAAAAAATATAATTCTGCAAAAAATTTATAAAAAAATAAAAATAATTTAATTAAAATTAAAAGATATTAAAAATAAGAGACAAAATTTTACAAACAAATTTTTGTAAAATTAAAAAATTGTTCTTGGAAATTATCGAATGAAAAAAAAATTAAACGAAATATTGCAAAACAAAATGAGAAAAGTGTTTTCTAAGAGAATAAATTTACAAAAAAAATAAAATAAAGAAAAAATGACTGAAAATAAAATTTATCGAAAATTCCTTCAAAAACGTTGAATTTGAAAAAATGCATTATTTTTACATAGAAAATTTTAAGAAAAAAATCTTCTTGTAAAAATTAAGAGTAAAAATTACAAAAAACAAGTCCTTTGTCCATTTTCTAAATATTTCTCCTAAAGTTTTGAACGTTTAAATAAACAAATAAATATTGTTTTCTATTAAAATATTTTCAAAATTTACCAAAATAAAATTAAAAATAAAATAAATTAAGCATTTATAGAGAGGAATAAATTTTCAATATTAACAAAAAGAATATTTTCTAAAAAGAATTCAAATTTTAACGAAGAATAAAATAAATTGTCGTTCATTGGAACGAAAAATTAATCAATATTCCGTAAAATTGCAAAAAAAGGGGATTAAAAAAAAATCACTATAATACTAAAAATCTCCGTAAAATTACAAAAAGGGCAATTAAAAAAATAACAAAAAAGGGTAATTAAAAAAATAACTAAATATAAAAATCTCCATAAAATTGCAAAAACGTCAATTAAAAAAAAAAAAAATCACTTTAAAAAAAAGGAATAAAATTCTCCAATAATTTCCGAAGGAAAAATCTATTTTCAATATTCACTATATATACACATATTTTCTATATTCACTCCCTATTTATACACAATCTTTCAAAATCATTAAATTCCTGTTCCTCTCTCGCATAGCGTCACAAGAAAAAAAAGGGGTAAAGAAAAATCACTGAAAAAATTTTTTTTTCCACCCGCCCCCACTCATATACACTCTTACCTTATATCACGAGAGAAAAAACAGTGAAAAACAGTTAAAAAAAAAAAAAATTTTTCACTTCCGAAATATTTTTTTCACCGAAACGCTTGACGACGAAGACGACGTTTTTTCCGCGTGAAAAGCAAGATCAAAACTCGTCCCAAGTATTTTCATCGAAGAGAGGGTTTGGTTTTCGAAACAAGAAAAAGGTGTCGTTGTGTAAAGATCACGTGTCAGTCCTGCGCATTCAACCCTTTCAAAAATATCAAGGGAATGAGAAAAAAAAGTGTAAGAGAGAGAGAGAGAGAAGGGGGTGGGGGGAGATGGGTCGAGAAAAAAAAATAATAAAAAAAAAAAAAAATAAAAGAACGCTGAATAGGGCAGCGTGCTGATAATATAAACCGCGAGGGGTCGACGTACGTCGTTTCCGAGGACTAAAGGGGCGTCCCACTTGTTACAGAACAGCCAGTAGTGCCACAGGTATTTTTTTTCTATTCGACAAAAAATGCTCTTTTTCTCAAAAACTGGCACTGTAATTTTTTCACGGATTTTTTTTTGATTTTTTAATTCTAACACTTTTATTTTAGAGGTGTTTAAAAAAAAAAAAAAAGAGAGAGAAAAAGAGGAAAAACTGAAAGAGAGAAAAAATAGTTTTGATGTGGAAAAGAAAAGAGGGAGAAGGAAAAAAAAGAAAGGAGAGAAGAGGAAAACAAAAGAAAAGAGAGAAGAGGGAAAAAGAGAGAAAAGGAAAAAAAGAAAATGGGAAAGAGAAAAAACAGGAGAGAGAAAAAATAGGAAATGGAAAAAAGAAAAAAACAGGAAAGAGAAAAAAGAAAAAATAGGAAATAGAAAAAAGAAAAAACAGGAGAGAGAAAAAATAGGAAATGGAAAAAAGAAAAAACTGAAAAGAGAAAAAATAGAAAAAAGAAAAAATAGAAGAAGAGAGAAAAGAAAAAATAGGAAATAGAAAAAAGAACAAATAGAAGAAGAGAGAAAAGAAAAAATAGGAAAAGAGCGAAAATAGAGAAAGGAAAAAGTAGAAAATAGAGAAAACAGAGAAAATAGAGAAAAAAAGGGAGAAATTAAAAGGGGAGAAGAAAGAAAATAGAGAAAAAAATAAAATCTGGGAAAAGGGAAAGATAGAAAAATTGAAAAGGGGGAAAAATGAAAAAAGGCGAAATTAAAAGGGGAGAAGAAAGAAAATAGGGAAAAAAATAAAATCTGGGAAAAGGGAAAGATAGAAAAATTGAAAAGGAGGGAAAATGAAAAAGGGAGAAAGAAAAGAGAGAAAAATGAAAAGAAGGGAAAAAAGAAAAGACTGAACAAGAAAATAAGGGGAAAAAATAAAGAGAACCAAGAAACTAAGGAAGAAAAGGAGGGAAAAAGCGAGAAAGGGAAAAAGAAAAGAAAGAAAAAAGAAAACGAGGGAAAAAGAAAAGAAAGAAAAAAAGAAAACGAGGGAAAGAAGAAAAGGAGGGAAAAAGAAAAGAGACAAAGAAAGAAAAGGAGGAAAAAAGAAAAGAGACAAAGAAAGAAAAGGAAAGCAAAAAGAAAAGAGAAGAAAAAAATCGAGAGAAAACAAGAAAAGACAGAATTAAAAAACAGAGGAAAATAAAGAAATGCGACAAAAAATAAGAAAAAGAGAGTAAAAAATAGAGAAAAAGTAAAAAAAGAGAGAAAGAGAGTAAAAACAGAGAAAGATACTCAAAAAAGAGAGAGATAGACAACAAAAGCTAGAGGAAAAATAAAGATAAGAGATAGACAGCAGAGAGAGAGAGAGAAATGAACAAGAAAAAAAGAAAGAAAGTAAAGAGGTGCGAGAAAAGAAAAGAGAATTTGATTTGTTGTTGTTTTTTTTTTTTTTTTGAAAAATGAAAGAACCACACGCTTCGACTTACCTATGACGTGTGTGTGTACTACCCACTAGTTCGCCAATGAAACAGTGAAAGCTTGCCTGAGAATTGCGAGGGTGCTGCCGTCCAGGGCCTCCGGGTCGATACGGACACGCCTGCGCTTGCCCCTACAATTTTCATCCCTACCCAGCGAAGAGAAAATCAACCATCAACGAACACGCGACTCTGTGTTCAACTGATATACGTATATGGGAGAATATCTCAATGCAAAAATGTGTGAGTATTCGAGATAAAAGCCTACCATACATTTCGACAGTGCCGTACACTCCATTCACTCCGTTTAACTACTTACTGTCCTCTCTCATTTTTTTTTTTTTTTAGAGGGAGGGAAAAAATCGAATCTCGAGACCAGATGTCGACCCTATTTTTTTTTTTACCAAATCTGATTTTAAACTTAAAGGAAAATTTTATTATGTACTTTTGTATGAATATTCATGTTCCTTTTTTTTGAATGCAAAATTTATTATTGTGATTATGTGGAAAAAGGATTTTGAGAATATTTCCAAATTTTTTTTTAAGAATGGAAAATTGATCTCAATTTTCCAATGTCAGAAAAATTTTTCTTTCCAACGGCAAAAAATAGGAAAAAATTATTTTTTACACTGGAAAAAAATTTATTTTATTCAAATACTTGATTAATCGACTATCATTAATTAAATATTTACTTGAATCAAATAATATTTATTGGAGTCAATTAAATTGTATTTGATTCAATAATTAAAAAATTATTTATTATTTAATATTATTTATTTTTATTTATTAATATTATTTATTATTTAATTAAAAATTAAAAGTATACAATTTAATTGACTCCAATAAATATAATTTGATTCAATTAAATATTTAATTGATAAATAGTCAAGTAATCGGTTATTTGAATCAAATAAAATTTTTTTTCAGTGTATTAACCTTCTTTTGTAAAATATTATTTATTATTAAATTAAAGGAAATGAAATTATTAATTATTAATTTTATTTATTAATTAATATATTTATTAATATTACTTTATTAATTATTAATTTAAAAAAAAATAAAAAAAATAATTAAAAAAAAATTATTTATTATTAATTTTAATATTGAGAAATGGTTGGGGTACAGTTCTTCTAAAACGTATTTTCTAATTAATTATTTTTCAAAAAGTGAATTTCTAAAAAGCTTTTTTCTAATAAAGGTGATTTTCTAATTTTCTTTCTTCGAATAAAGGTCATTTTCTAAAAATTTCTTTCTCTAATGAAGGTAATTTAAAAAAATTTTTTTTTACTAACAATATTCAATTTTTGTAATAACGATATCATATATCGCATAGGTATATGATTAAAAAAATAAAATTTACAAAAATTTTTTAATTCTTTAAAAAGAAATATTTGAAATTTCGTTAAAAAATTATAGGAAAAAATAGAAATTATGCAAAGTTTTTAACTAAATTAAAAAATAATCGAGTTAAAAATCGTAATTAACAAATAGAAATTATAGGGATTTCTTTCTAAAAGGTATTTAAAATTTTTTAAAAAAGTGTTTTATAAATAAATTAATTTTGAAAATTTTGGTATTAAAAATTTTCTAAAAAAGTATTTTATAAATAAAATTAATTTTGGAAATTTTTGTATAAAAATGATGGAAATTATTATTTTTTTCAAAGAGGAACAGAATTTTGTTAATAAAATTGTGATAAGAATTAGTAATTTTATAAAAAAATTTTCTTCTTTTTAAAAAAGAAACTTATAATTTTGTAAATAAAATTGTGATTGAGAAACAGAAAATATGCAAAATAGTTTCTATTTCTTAATCTTAGTTTTTTTTTAAAACAATTTTCTAACTTTTATCAAAATTATGGAATTTTACAAATTTTAGGAAAATAAATATATTAGAAATCATAACATTTTAAAAAAACTTTTTTTAGAAATGAAAACTTGTTGGAAAATTGTTTTTTGAAAAACAGATTTTATTAGAAATCGCTTTTTTTGGGGCAAAAAGGATTAGAAAATATATTTTTTAGAAAAAGTGACTACCTACCTTGAGAAATTATTTTTAATAGAAAGAAAAACAAATGAAAAGATGGAAATTTTTAGAAAAGCTTATAGTTTCCAAAGGCAAAATGTGGAAAAAAAATTTTTTTATTAGCCTTCTGTATACAATATTGTTTATCATTAATTTTCCTAATTTTTTTTTTTATAGAAATGAAAAACAAATTTTTTATTTTATATTTTATTATTATTTATTATTTTTTATTTTTATTTCTAGATTTCAAGTGCGAGGCAAATTCACATTTTTCTAATGTAACAACAATTAAAAATGGGTTCATTTGATAATTATTAACTAATGGCTAGAAATTTTGGTAAACTGCAGAAAATTCCGTTTCAAAATGAAACGGGGAAAATTGGAGAAGAAGCTTGAAAATTATGTGGGTAATTAATTTTCAAGGAAACGTAAATTGAGAAAAATTAAAACTAAATGGAAAATTAGTGTCAGCAAACTCAAGCCAATAAACGTGGTGATTATTTAAGAAAAGAAGTTTTTAAAATAAAATTCAGTAAATTTACTAAAAATTTTTTATTTTACTGACAATTCTAAATTGAATTTATCATAATAATTTTTTTTATTTTTTGACTTATTGTTTAATTTTACAAAAAATTAGAAATTAAAAATTGAAAATTTTAATTTAAGTAGAATAAGTCAACAGATTGAACAAACGAAAGAAAGATTTATTTTTCAATTTAAAAACATAAATTTTAAGTAGAATGAGTCAATTTTAAGTCGGACAATAATCCATTTTTTATTTCAAGAAAAAAAAACAGAAAAACAAGAAATAGTAAATTTTAGTGATAAAAGTCAACGAATTGTCTGCCAATTAAAGAACTTTTCAATTTTCGTCATAATATAAATTTTAAGTAGAATGAATAAATTTTAAGTCAGACAAAAATCCATTTTTTAGTTGGAAAAAAAAATTGATAAACAATAAATAGGAAATTTTAGTGATAAAAGTCAACGAATTGTCTGACAATTAAAGAAGTTTCTAATTTTCATAACAAAAATTTTAAGTAGAATGAGTCAATTTTAAGTCAGACAGTAATACATTTTTTAGTTGAAGAAAAAAATTGAAAAATAAGAAATAGGAAACATTAATGATAAAGATCAACGAATTTTCTGACAATTAAAGAAGTTTTCAATTTAAAAACATAAATTTTAAGTAGAATGAGTAAATTTTAAAATAAAATAATAATGATAATAATAATAATAATAATAATAATAATAATAATAATAATAATAATAATAATAAAAATACTGAAAAGTGTAAAGATCAGAAACCCATTAGTAAAATAGTTTTAAACTCGTTGAAAATAAATTTTCCAGTTCCTAAAAACTAATTAAAACTAGTCACTGACAGTGAAGAAATTTTAAGTGGAATAAATCAATATTACAGTAGGCGCGAAAACCTGAGAAAAATTTTGATTGAATAAAAATAAATTCTAAATTATACTGTGATATTATTTTTTAATTTGATTATAATTATTATTAAACTATTAAATTTTTATTTTCATAAATTATAATTAATTAATTTAAAATTAAACAGTTAAACGATTATTAAATTATTTTTAAATAATATTAATTATTCTCCAGTAATTTTTTTCACAGTCAATTAAAAGTTAACAATTAATAAAAAAATATGAATTTAAATAATATACCTACTCAATTAAATTCACGTAATTTGACAATTAGATTTTTAATTATTAATAAAAAAGTGTTTTTTTTTTTAATTTGAATTTTGATTTCATTTTGATTAAAAATCAAAATGGAATAAAAAACGAATTTTAAACAAGAAAATTTAGAATTAAGTGATATAAGGCAATGTTGAGTTTGACAATAAGGGGTCGTTGATAAATTACGTCAGATTTTAAGGGGGGAGAGGGTCCAGCTTTTTTACGACCAATAGAAAAAAAATATAAAAAAAAAATTTTAAGTTGAGTATGCAAATGTTCCGTCAGACAAAATTCGAAAATTGGTCTTAAATGAAAGAAAAATAGTATACGCGCAAAGGATAAGATAAGAAAATAAGAGAATTTTAATAGTCATACGTGTCTAAAATATAAAGTATGTCAATAAGAGAAATTTCTTCTTAAATAGAAAAAAAAAAATTTTTTTTTTAAGTGGAATAAATCAACGTCACGTCAGACAGAACTCAAGAAAAATCACACAAGAAATAACCGCAAGAGAAGAAATAAATTCTAGTGATACAAATCAATGTAAAGTCTGTGGCAATCAAGAAGGGGAAAAAAAATTCCCTTCGTCTTAAAGAAAATAAATTTCAAGTGGAATAAGTCAATGCAACGTCAGACAATGTTCTAAAGACGAAATTTTGAATTCAAGAGAAATAACAATGAGTAAATAAATAAATAAATTGTATCCGCACTGGTATGCAATTCACTATTATGTAACTGTCTGTCAATAAAAGGAAATTTCCACTTAGAGAAAAAGAAAATTTTCTCAGTAGAATAAATCAATCCTATGTCGGACGAAAGAAATTCATTTTAATTCAGGAAAAAAATTGTTTTCTGAAAATAGTTAATAACAAATATTATTATAATAATAATTATTATTATTAATAGCAAATTTTAAGTAGAATGAGTAAATTTTAAGGCAGACAATAATCAAGTTTTTTTTAATTAAAAGAAATAAAATATAAAAACAACGAAAAATTATAAATTTTTGTCAATGGAAATATATGAAAAATTAAAAGATTTATTTACTTAAATAAACTAAAGAAATTTTTTTAGTGGAAAAAGTCAATATCGTGTCAGACAAAGCAGAAAGGCAGGCATTTAATTAAAAATTAAATCTAATGAAAACAAATGAGAAAAATAAATAAATTCTAGTGGAACAATGGTTAATGAATTGTCTGACAACTAAGGAATTTTTTACTCAAATAAACGAAATTTAAGTAGAATATATATATATATTTTAGGTCATACAAAGCTTATTTGGTTTGAAGTTTGTAAAACATAAAAACAAAAGTAAAAAACATAACTTTAAGTAAATAATTTAAATTTTCAGTGATACAAATCAATGTTAAGGCTGACAATAAAACAA